GAACACTCTCTTCAATGAGATAACACCAGAAAATTTTCCAAGCATGAAGAATGAATTGGAAAACCAAATACAAGAGGGTTTCAGGACACCAAATGTACAAAATTACAACAGATCTACACCAAGGCACATTATAATGAAAATGCCCAGCATACAGAATAAGGATAGAATCTTAAAAGCTGCAAGAGAGAGGAATCAGATCACATTTAGATGGAGATCAACTCATATCTCAGCAGATTTTTCAACCCAGACCCTCAAAGCCAGGAGATTGTGGGACAACATATACCAAGCTCTGAAAGAAAATGGATGCCAACCAAGAATCTTATATCCAGCAAAACTAAGCTTTAGATTTGATGATGAAATAAAAACCTTCCATGGTAAACAAAAATTAAAAGGATTTACAACTAGAAAGCCTGCACTATAGAACATCCTCAGCAAAATATTCCAAGAAGAGGAAATGAAAAACAATAATGAAAATCAGCAGAGGGAGGGATTACACTAAAGGAAAATCTAATCAGAGGAGAAATCAAGTCACATTAAATACCAAAAATAAACAAAAATGGCTAAGAATACAAATCATGTCTCAATAATAACCCTGAATGTTAATGGCCTAAATTCACCAATCAAAAGACATAGACTAGCAGATTGGATAAAAAAAAAAAAAAAAGATCCATATGCTGCCTCCAAGAGACACATCTCCTAGAAAAAGAAATTCACAGAMTGAAGGTGAAGGGTTGGGGAAAATCATACCACTCACATGAACTGTGGAAGCAAGCAGTGGTTTTCATCCTCATTTCAMATAAAGTGGACTTCAAACTGAAGTCAATCAGAAAGGATAAAGAAGGACACTACATACTCCTCAAGGGAACCATACACCAAAAGACTTAACAATTGTAAATATATATGCCCCAAACAACAGAGCAGCTATGTTCATCAAACTCAAGTTCAAGAGTCAAATAGACTACAACAAAATAATTTTGGGTGACTTTAACACATCTCTTTCA